TCTATTTGATTATGTTTATCCGCATTTAGTTACACAAATTCAAACATTAAGCTTTAATAAGTTGTACTTACGCACAATTTACTTGTAATCTTGAATTTTAAGTAATATGCATCAATATACAGTACTTCATGCATAAAAAAAGATTTTTAAAAGTTTTTGTCAAATGCTTTATAATATAGTATAGATAATGACATGTTTATTTCTATTTTTCTTATTTAATTTATTTTTGAAAATGTAAGACTCGATCTGAACACAAAAGTTCGTAAAATAGACCTAACTTAATATAAATCTTGACCGAGTAGATGACCCTAAAACTGTCTTTATATGATCGGTACGGCCATCAATTTGGAAGAGTTGATGATGCCATTCTTATCTTCTTTAATTAATCAACAATCTAAATTGTATCTTTTCTTGCATCTTTGGAAATACCCTGGAAACAACATTTATGAGTCCTATATTTATCAACATGTATGTTTTTAATAATTTATTAAATGGTATTCCATATTTTGAACAGATCAAGAATCGATCATCAGTTCGACAAGTATGACTCGTTACATGTTTATCAATTCCACACATGTGTCCATATATTAGTTCTCTCAAACGAGGACTAGTATTAATAATAAAAGAATGTTACTTGAGAAAATACTTTTTCTTTGGAGTCACGAATTAATTAATTAAGAACAGTTTCATATCTTTTCTAAATTGATGTCGAGATAGATGTACAAAAGTTGGTTATAAGTCGTGATTAATTTTGATGAATATACCTACGCATAACGTTACATGTTGGTTGTTGCATTAAATATGAAAACGAAATGAGAAGAAAAATATCTGATGAATCAATTTCTTGGATTGTAGTGTCAAAAATTAAGAAACTTACAAAAATAAAACAAATGTAAGAAACTTACAAAATAGATATTTAAATTATAACACGATACGACTTGGTACAATTAGCAAAAGTATCATGCATATGAAACTTTGATATAATGACAACCGACGAGTTGTAAATCGCCGCCATTTAAACTCATAATCTTATTTTCAACTAACGCAAGATGAGTTGTCATAAGCTTTCCCATTAAAATTCTCGACATCCTCGTCAGACTTATCATGCTTGACGAGGTTTGCCTACGATTTATGTGATTCATTAAGATAATAACTACAAACATCCCTCTTAAGACTTATGAGGTTTGCCGTACCATCCAACTGCAGAAAGAACCGGTTCTAATGCCACTGTATGTTGTTTCAAAATCCAAAACAATAGAGTAGCCCAATAACTTATGGTTCAACTTAAGAATACGTTGAATGTTATTGGTAGTACATAATAACCTAGGGCGTATAAAAAGTCTACTATACAAATCTCGTTCTCTATCCATCTGTAACGGATTATCAAAACCTCTGGTCCACTTAAATGAGAGCTTAAATATTGTTCATCAATATGAGACACATCGTCACAATGGTTGATCTTAAACATGGCATATACCATTGGATCCTCCTTGATGGTCTTAGAATATGACCGCCAACAAGCACCTATCGCAATCAATGCTGATCAAACAATAAGTGATTGTTGATCTTCCTTGAAGGTCTTTAGTAAGGATCTAACATGTTTATAGTTAAAGATGCGCAAAACTAAAACCAAATAAAACAAATTTATTATAAATTCAAGATTGTTCGGGACTTTTATTAAGACCAATAATTTTAAATCAAACTTTAGTTTTTGTAGCCAATGATGGTTAAAGATCATGTGACATGTAGTCGGTTAAGGACCGTTAACGACCACCACATGATTGGTTAAGGAATGGCACAAAATTTATTTTAAGAAGTTGCCAATTTTGAAACAAGATAGTATTAACTTCTAACTAACTTTTATTTTCTATTGTAAAAAACATATATCGATGTATTTTTTCAAAGTTCCTTTTTTTATAACTCATTCTATTTTTAATTTTTAATTTTGGTTGTTACAAATCGTTTTAGATTCATTTAGTTATCTTTTTATTAGAATAATAGAAAAGAATTATACGGATTTGTCAAGAACTTTTAAATTTGACTAGTTTTGATCATAAATTATGCTTTTTAAAAAGCATAGTCGATTTATGGAGACGTCAAAAGATCAATTAAGATTAGTAGACAGGTTATTTTCTAAAACTAAAATCAATTATTAATTATTAATTATTAATTATTAATTATTAATTATTAATTATTAATCATTGATATGGATGCTTCTTTTTTGGGATCTTTGGTCACAATTTCGTGGTGTGTCAATCGTTCGGTGGTTTCAAACAGAAGAAGTAGACGTTTTTCAACATCTTTGTTATATTGGTCTTTAGTGGAACCTAAATAACATGCAACTTTTAGAAACAAGCTAGCGATCCTTAATTTTGAAATTTGTATTAAAATATTTTTAAATATATATTATTAAAAATAAAATAATAAGTATAGTATTTGATTTATTGAAGCGTTAGGTTTTTATTTTGGTAGAAAGAGGGAGTAAATATAAAAAGAAAAATCAAAAGGTTTTTCTTCATGTTGTGCAGTTTGACCTTCTAGTTTGTTTCTTTAGGCATGCTGGAGCTGGACTGAAATGGTCAGCAGCAACCCAAGCCCACCTTCACATACCATGAAAAAGAAGTATATTACTCTTTATGTTTATTATATTTAAGGTTGAGTTCCAATGAAAAGCGTAAAAGACATATTTATCATTGAATCCATATTATGATGAGATGGATCGAGATAAGATGCATTGAGATGTATCATATCAATCATTGTATCTAGCATGGTTTATTGGTGGGTTTGAGATTTAAGGTGATCAAAGGTCCAGATCCATTCTTATTTTTCTCACCCTTTTAACTTTTATTCTCACACGATTTTTCGCATATATATATATATATATATATATATAGGGATGTTATTCTACACCATTTGCCATTCCTACACCCTATACAACCCTCATCTCAACCATTTAATTTTTAATCAATTAATTGTTTCCTAATATAAAGTATTAATCATAATTAATAAACT